AGTCATGGGCTAAATCCCCACCGTAGTGTTTCCTCTGACAACTTCCATCAATAAACCCTAATTTGTTCTTAGCTAATAATACAACTTTCATGGAATTGCACCAAGCAGTGTAATTTTCTATTCTAGTCAATTATTGAGGGATGAGTATAGAACCTGGAGTCTCCAATAGATGTAGAAACAACAGATTTCTCGGGTGAATGTCAATGAATTTCTTAGCTGAATTTTGAATAGCAGACGTCCCTTTATCACTGGTAATCGTCATCTTTGCTCAATTTTTCAGTAAATCAGGGAACCTCAACATAACTGTTGCCATAGACCTAGGGTTTGTGCGATTTGAAGAACTTAGAAATGGAAGGAAAAGAAAACTCGAGAACTCAACAATCGTGAAATTAGGATTTCCTGTACTTGTAAATTCCAACAAGATACACCTCTATGCTGATCGGTCATTCCTCATTTGCTCATAATCCAACTCGAATTTCACCGATTGGTGGCTCTGATACCATGTTAAAAAGAGAAATGAGGTTTGGTTAAGAATGGAGCTATGAAGAGATAACACGATTCTAGAGAGAGAGATATCTGAAGTGAAAAATATTTTTTCATTACTTTATTACAGCTGTACACACATATTTATATTGCTGACACTTCTTACTAACTTAGCATTTACACCTGTACACCCATTAGTAAACTAACCACTACAACAAATAAGGTCCTATATTATATGTACAATGTATAACTAACTACATATGACATACTTCTAATATTTCTACAAATTCAAATTAGTCGATCCCAAAACGTTTATTAGACATCAGGTGAGAAATGAAAAAAAAATGTTGAAGAGAGAGAAGGGAAGAGAAAGGAAAAATGAGAAGGAGCATGAAAAAGGAAATGCGAGAGTGAGTGTCCTTTCATTGTTTGGATAGAGGAATGTGAATTGAAGAATTTGAAATTTTAGTCTTAAACAATTTACATCAATGAGAAATGTAGCTTACCATATGATAAACTTATTTTCAACGTTTTACATAAGGAGAGCAAGAAACATGCATAGCGTATTGAAGAGTGGCATGGAGTTGAGACCCAAAAGTTCGACAGATTGAAGAGTGAGCGTAGAATATAGAAGAGAAAGCAGATCCCTCAACAAGCTAAAAAGTAGGTCTGGAGCAAAGTGAGTAAGAAGTTCAGAGTAGCTTGACGAACTTATGAGTTATAGAGAAAATTAAACTCGTGAGCATGTTAAAATAGATAGAGAAAAACAATTGTGAAAATAGATTTGCTTAAGTTTGACTTTAATATCTTGTGCAAAATAGGAGCATCATCTAAAGTTTAATGCAATTACCGATATAGTTCGAGACATTATAAACATGTGTGGAAATATATATCTAACAGGAGCCTCAAAGGCACTACACTTTCTTCGTTCTCTCTCGCGAATTAACCAATACAATTTCTTGAAAGATGCTCCAGGAGAAACATAAATCTAAAATACGACTTTTTCAAAAAGATTTTTCATGTGCACGAAAAACTGGATTATCCATTTTACTTTTTCAGATGTAAATAGTTTTTCTTCTCTTTAAAGGCTCGAGATATAGCTGATTAAGTATTGATTTTTCTAATAGGAAAGGATTAGGGGCCTACATTGGTAACGTCTCCACCCTGATCAGGCATCTGTCTAACTATAATTAATGACATAAAAAGTGAAATAGGCGGCGTAATTTTCATATCTTTAAAATAAGAACAATAAACCCAGTATATTTTTACAGGTAGGGCTTGGAGAAGGTAGTGTGTACGCAGACCTTACCCCTACATAGTGAAGGTAGAGATATTGTTTCAATAGACCCTTGGCTCAGAAAAGATGAGAAGAAGAAGAAAGAAAGAAAGGAAAAAAAAGAAATAAAACGAAGAGAGAAGAAAAAGAGGGAGAAAATAAGTAGTACCAAATAGTAAAAACAAGGAAATACGATAATTGAAACGAACTAAACAACATGACGTAATATAGATCTAAGAATATGAAGGAACATGAGTGCTACTAATACTACCGGTAAAAAAGGAGAAACTTTCAACTACCTACTAACTTTCTATCCTAATCCTTGACCTCTACACTCTCCTATCAAGGGTCAAGTCCTCGGTAAGCTGAATCAACGCCATGTCCTGCCTAATCACCTCTCCCCAGTACTTTTTTGGCCTATCTCGACCTCTTTTCTAACCCGTCAAGGCCAACCTCTCACACCTCCTAACAGGAGTATCAATGTTTTCCGTCTTAACGTGCCCGAACCATCTCAGCCTCGACTCCCGCATCTTATCCTCCATGGAGACCACTCTCACTTTGTCCCGAATAACTTCATTCCTAATATTATCTCTCCTGGTATATCCACTCAGCCATCTCAATGTCCTCATTTCTACTACTTTCATCTTCTGCACATTAGAGTTCTTAATTGGCGAATACTCAGCCCCATACAACATAGTTGATCGAACCATCACTCTGTAAAATTTGCCCTTAAGTCTTGGCGGCACATTCTTATCACATGGAACACCGGATGTGAGCCCCCATTACATCCATCTCGCTCTTAATACGATGTGTGAATCCTCATCAACCTCCTCGTTATCATGGGTAATAGACCTGAGTTACTTGAAACTGCCTCTTTTGGGGATAACGTGAGTATCAAACTTCACATCCACGTCTACTTCATGAGTCACGTGAATTTACACTCCAAGTATTTTATTTTGGTCCTGCTCAACTTGAAACCTTTAAACTTCAAGGTCTGTCTCCAAACCTCCAACCTTGTGTTAACCTCGTCTCCTGTCGCGTAGGTCAACACTATATCATCGGCATGCAACATGGCACCTCCCTTTGGATGTGCTGCGTCAGCACGTCCATCGCCAAGGCAAATAAAAATGGCCTAAGAGTCTATCTCTGGTGCAGCCCCATCACGACTGAAAAGTGTTCCGAGTTACCTCCCACAGTCCTCACCCCAGTCTTCCATCATACATATCTTTAATCACCCTAGTGTACGCTATTGGAATGCCGCTAATATCCAAACACCTCCACATAACCTCTCTCGGAACTTTATCATATGCCTTTTCAAGGTCAATGAGCACCATATGCAAGTACTTATTCCTTTCCCTATACTGCTCTACTAATCTCCTCACCAGATGAATAACTTCTGTAGTCGAACGCTCTGGCATGAAGCTGAACTGATTCTCAGAGATAGACATGTTCCTCCTCACCCTAACTTCTACCACCCTCTCCCGCACCCTCTATAGTATGACTCAACAGTTTTATACTCATATAAAACAACAACAACAACAACCCAGTATAATCCCACTTAGTGGGGTCTGGGGAGGGTAGTGTGTACGCAGACCTTACCCCTACCCTAGGGTAGAGAGGCTGTTTCCAAATAGACCCCCGACATCCTTTCCTCCAAGAACTTTCCCATCTTGCTCTTGGGGAGACTCGAACTCACAACCTCTTGGTTGGAAGTGGAGGTTGCTTACCATCAGAGCAACCCCTCTTGTCAATTTTGGATATCACCCTTTTTCTGGTACAACAGAACCATCGTACTCCACCTCCATTTTTCGGGCATCTTTTTCGTTTTAAAAATAACATTAAACAACCTTGTAAGCCACTCTAAGCCAATTTATATCCTTACAATTATCACAAATTCCATGCCTCTCTTTTCTGTTCATTTACTCCATCGCATTTTGAAAAGGATGAAGAACCGCACGGATATTATTGGATGATTGAGATCCTCTACTCTTAACCAAATATTTTGAGTTCAAATTTAAAAAATGGGAAGTTTCTTAGTAGGGATCATTTTGCCTTCCTTAGTGAGCCTATTCAGTGTGAAGCCGAATTAATCAAAGCCAGTAAGTTTCAAACACCGGATGAAGAAACTCTTGGAGCTTTCTTCTATGTGCTCATGTTGAACGTTTATTTTGAATTTGAACAAATGAATCTAGACTTTCATGGACAGTAGTATTCCAAAAGTTGCAGTTCCACCGCTAATATTTAAACGAAAATCCTGCCTTCATTTGGAAGGTTACAAAGCCTATAGGCTACCAAAGTTAGGAAAAGCATCTTCCGCCTTTCAATACTAAGACACACAGGTAACGAAAGAAGAAAAGGCGGACAAAAAAACAAATTTTGAAGAGGAAACATTGAAAACTATATACTCCAGATGAAGTAAAAGTTTTGACAACTTGTCGTGACTTGACTTCCTGTCCAATGGAGTAGGTCAAGAGTTGCCGCATTTCAATTTTTTTTTTAATTATATATATTATTTATTACTTCGAAAAAGGTAGTATATACTATCAAAAGATTGTGATAGGATGATAAATAATCATTCATCCTTAATCAGAGGTCCAGGTTCGAGTCCTGTGAATGAAGTCGCTTTTGATAGGACTTTATCCACAAAATGGGATCACTTCTCAGCACGATCCAAATTTACTCAGGCCCCAAAACGCAGTAGATGGAAAAACAAAAGAAAAAGGAAGAAGTAAGTGTGAAAATCGAAGTCATACTTCTTTTTGTTACAAATACAAATACTCATAATGCTATTAGAGGATGAGGCGACGAGCTTTTCTGGTAGAATTGCCACAACTGTCTAGCCTTTCATACCTTTTAGGAAAATAATTTTACTTGTATGTATGTACTACTTCGGTATTTCCTCCACTAGGCTTCACTAGGCGAAAGTCGGATTGCCAACCACTTCTGTTTTAATTTTATTTTTTTTTCTTTTAATTCTATTTCAGGAACGTGTATTTGGTCTAACTTCATAAAAATTGGCTTACTAGTGTTAGAAAAATTACTTTTAGAAATGCCTTTCCGTCATTCTGTGTGCAAGTAAGGACAAAGAAAAAGAGCATTTTAGTAATGTGTTGTTACCAAATATTGAGACATCTATTTTTTCCTTTTTAACAATGAAAAATTAGGCCTGTACCTTCTTAACTACCATTATGCAGCAAGAAAACGGGATTAACAGATTGCCAGGATTACATGAGGAAGCACGTCAATAAAACTGGAAAAGAAATAAGATTAGAATAGAGATTTGGGGGACAAATTTTACTTGAAAGACTGGCCACATTTGCTTTTACATCAATGAAAACAATTGTGGACATTAATTCTACATTACCCAATTCTACCATGACGAATTGTACAAATGACAGGTAAGAACAATTTCCTGGCAGAAACTATGCAATCTCATCAAATTTCACAGAGGGCCTTCAATGTCAAGTGCTGTGGAGCTTAAAACCGAATACCCTGGGAACATAGTTCTGTGTTTGCTTTTGCGGCTTGAGATGTCCATAAGTCATAAAAAAGAGGTGAGGAAATGTTGTCCCAATGTAAGCTCCGTCAATATCTTGGCCAGTTAAAGAAATCAGATCCAAGGATGAGTAATACTTTAGTCACGGTAAGGGAGGAAACACTAAAATGAACTATGTGCAGAACTAATCTGGATGTTAATATGCATCCCATGTCCTAAGGCAATTCAAAATATGCAGAATCACAAAAGAAACTTCGATCACAACCAATCCGTGCTAACAAAAAAGAAAAGCATACATGAGAAGAGCAGTGTTGTTTGAAGGATCATTAGATACATGCTTAAAACCTGAAACTAGGCGCGAAATAAGTTGTGTGATTCGCCTCACTTGAGAGGCGCCTTCAGTGCAGGCACTAAGGAGCCAAGACGCGTGCATCATAACCCTTGGGCACTATCTTGATGACCGTGACCAAGCAATAAATATTTCACCTAAATTCTTTTGTGTATATGATCCGTTTGGGTTTATAGTTATTTAACTTTGAACTACAAATATGTTTACATCTTTCCCTTCAATTGTGTCTTTCTCCTTTAACGCAGGCACTTAATTTGCGCTCTGCAGTTGGCTTAAAGCGCAAATAGATGCCAGTTTTTTTTTCGCCTTTTGCCTTTAATAGCACTTGCTAACGAGGAAGTGTTTTAGGGAAAAGGGCATAAAGTGATAACAGTGAAGGATACTGCCTTGGTATTTTGATCGTGGATAGTAGATATCTTCACATTTTGGACAGTAAATTTTTACAGTACTTGAGCGTGGAATATCAGACTGACCAACTGGAAGACAAGGCTGTCCACTGCAATAAACTCGCGGGCATCTACCAAAGTCGTAGTTCTTGTACTTCTCCAACTGAAAAACGTTTACCAGGAAATCATTTTTCAAAAAACGAAGACCACCAAAGGAAAGGAAAAAAAGGGGGTTGGTGTGTGTGTGTTTTTTTTGGGGTGGTGGTGTGTGTGTGTGTTTGGGG